GTGGTGCGTCTTAGGACACATAATGTTAAGTGCAGCTACCTGGATGGTGGTCGCGGGGGTCAACGCCCCCGAGGTCCGGTCCATGACCAGGCCTCGCGGTGGATCAGGGCCTAATCATCCAAGCTGTTACTGCTGGCCGCACGTGAACCAACGTACAAACCACCCCTGCTAGTGAGGTACTGATTTTAGGTGCCTGTCCAGCTCCCTCTTGAAGACAGCCAGGAGTCTTTTGGTAATCCCCTTATGGTGAGTTATGGCAGCAAGGAGCTCTTACCTGTGTTAAATATTGAGGTCTCAAACTACTACTAGGCCATGTTGTCCTAAACCAGGACGAGTTCATGCCTCTTCATCATCTCTGGCACCCAAACTTAGTAGGTTTGCAACTGCATTATGGCGTACATCCACTACCTTCGTTATAAAGCCAACGTTTTGACATTAACAAGTATGAATGATAATGCAAAATGATAAGAATTATATCAATAAAATATACTGATACTGTACTGCTTATCTATCACTGCGAGATGGATGGGTCTGCATTTCTGCATAAAAGTTTACGAAGTTGAGACAGTTGAGGACAATTTCACTTTCAGATCTTTCTCAGTATCCATCCTCAAGTCTTCATTACTTTAAGCAAAGGAAACCCAGCCCAGAAATCCTGAACCTTGCAACCCAGTTCATAAAACTTTGTCTTGTGACAACTATCACACTTTAGTGTGCAGGAGAATTGTTGTATGTTCGTTGCTGGTTCCGTCAGATGACCACAAGATGTAACTGCGGGTCTTCGTATAACTAAGACCCGCGTCAGGAAACATTTGCCGTTTCCTGACAAACTTTACCTAACCTGACCTTCACTTGTAAAAAATCGTGATTTTAGTGGACAAGGTTAGATGAAGTTTATCATTTTCTCCGAATCACTGAACACTGATGTAAACTCCCCTGGCAAGTTTTTTGCGTCATGGTCTCTAAAACAAACTTGAATCTTCCTTTGCATTAGATACATCGGCATTGTAAGTTTCAAGACAATCAGAAGATGTACTCTCTAGCTATAGCACAAACTATTACTACCCAAGCTGTCAACTTGGCACCTACGCAATATAAAACCTTCCTGTACAATACACCACCGTTGAAAGTTACAAGACGATCAGTAGAGACTCTAAGTTATCAGTCGGACACTGGTTAATTAACTCATTTAATAAATCGGCAAATGTAACCTAAATTTTTCCATCAGTAATCTGAACCTTCCTCTAAATAACATGCTTGGATGTCGTCAAGATTATCTGCGCTTCACCTTTAACAGTATGTAAGTCCCCATACTGTTGATTCAGCTTCACAATGTACCAGACTATAGAGAAAAACTCTTCTCTAGGCTGAGGGACTGACCACCTCAAAACTGAGTCTTTAAGGGTGATGGAGTGATTACATCGTCTTTACATCTCTACTGCTTCTCCTGCCTCTTCTGTACTCGACTGAAGAAGGCCATTGTGAAGGCAAAACTTTTCGGAATAAAGATACTTAACTGTTTCATATGTGTCTTATTTATCAACTTGTCGGTATTACATACTGTTCAACTACGTACCTCCCAGCGTACATAAGGGGGATTACCAATGGACCCCTGGCTGTCTTCAAGATGGCGCTGGACAGGCACCAAAAGTCAGTGCCTGACCAGCCGGGCTGCGGTGCGCACATCAGTCTACGTACAGCCAGTAGTAAGAGCATGGTTGATCAGGCCCTGATCCACCGCGAGGCCTGGTCATAGACCAGGCCGCGGGGGCGGTGATCCCCGAAATCCTCTGCAGGTATACTCCAGGTATCAACATACACCGACACTGAAAGTTTGAAACCTGTCAGAAGAGGCGTTCACACATTATCACTCGGAAACCTCGCAGGAAGACAGAAAGAATGGGAAATGGAATGGTGAAGTGGATTCTTCAGTCTTTAAGAGTCCTTAGGACTGAAGCAGCCACCCGGGGCGAAATGTTTCCTCTAATAAATGTCCTGAACTGTACATAAGTGTCTTTTGCCACACAGAAAGGACACCCAATTAAAAATTCTAAAATATACATACAAGACATGATGACTGGTGCCTTGAGAAAGATGGATGGTGAGTGAGATAGTGACCCGCCTGTATCTCCATGGTAGCATCAGTGTGTGTCCAGCGCTGAGGAGGAGAGGTGTTCTTGTGCTCTGCACACACCAACACTCCATGCTACTACCCGCTCACCTCACCCTACTAATTTATCATTTCACCTGCGAGGCCTGAATAAGAC